CTTTCTGTAAAATATATGTAGGGCAATTCTAAGGATATCATAAATAACTAATTTATATCATAATCAAATAAAAAAATAATTTGCTCCATAGGAGAAGTAGCCTGATGAATGGGGGCTTGAGGAAATTCAAGTCATCAGAACTTTATTATCTCCATAAAACTAAATTTGAAGGACTATTTGTAATTCCATAGCAATACCCTAAATTTACATTTTCTTATAAACAAAAATTCATGAAAATTGTAATTTCATATGTAATTTATTGAATTTTATTGTGCAAACTTGTTATGTGATCCATTCTAATATTGTTTGCTGTCCTCCAATAACAATCAAAAGATGGAAAATAGCTCATTGATAGATTTTAATATACATAATATGTCTATACTGCATATTCTTTGACAATCAAATTTTCAATCAAGCATTCAGGTTCGAAAATGCTCCAAAATCGACAAATAAACAGCTGTTAAGAAAGAGTTAAAGTCATAAATTMTAGCACTACTCCTTGAAACAAGCAATGCAGATATTATTACATTTCTCTTCTACTAGAGTTTCAATTTAGATAATACCTAATTTACTAGCATTTACTACAATTTAATAGCAAACAACTAAGTTGTTCTAGACAATAAGTTCTCGATTGCCCTGAACCATAATTATTATGGTTAGGTTGGGGGGCCTTCCCTATTGGTATTTGTTGTAAGTCACCTAAATATAACAAAATTATTTTCAAACTAAATTTACAGAGGCAGTGAGACTAAAGCATTTTTAAGGACTTCAACACATGAAATGTCAAAACGTTCTCATGTCACTGTTCCAAATTTGGCAGCTTCGAGGCAACTACACTATGACAATTTCGCCTAAAGCTTTTGTCCAATCAAAACTGCCTTCATCATTTTCTGATATCATCCTACGTAAAGCTTTTTGTTTAGTGATCAATCATCCACATAAAATATATTTAGGGCTACCAGTAATCATATGATAAATATAAAGTATTGACTATTTTTTTAGTGTTTGAATATCAAGATTTCTTCCGAAATTTTAACACAACGCATGCATATCCATCCATTTAATATGACAGTGACTGACACGGTCGCTAAGCCATGATTTGCGCAGTGTTTCACTTTCACTATCAAACAGATAACACAATAACCACTTAAACAATCCAAAAACTACTCAATTCCATTCTTACCTTCCAAAGAATCATCCTTAGTAGTGTCTGATGCCCTTTCAAAAGCTTTTGAACTCAAATCTGTGTTATCACTCCGATTTCCGTCTGTTGTACTACGAAGAGCTTCTCCACAAAATGGGCAAAATTCAGGGAGTTCTTCTGCTTTCTTGACACCAAGGAACAGCTTTTTAAGCAGTTCTCGCTTTGTACAGTGTGGATTTACACACTCCATCAGTCRAAAAGCTATCAAAGATAGCTAAACACGCAGAACTCATTCATATTGCTGCATGATGCAGAATTCCCTCGCAATGTATGTCGACAAGCTGAGCCAAACACGCGGGAATTTCCCGGAAAACCGGAAGTGAGGCACACCAAGTTATGATTTTGAACATTCTTCAGTTTTAAACATATTCGATTCCCTAATTTTGGATTTACTAGAAAATTGAAGTCTAAAAATTAAAAATTTTACTCGTTATATAAATTGATCCAAGAAGATTACAAGAAAATGATTAATCTCTACCCCTCATGGGTTTCCTGTGGAAAACTAAATGATGTTACTTCCGGCTCACTGGGGGGCAGGCTAGAGAACTTTTTTTGATTATCTTTTTTTGTGATTTTTTTGCGATAGTTTTGACATTTGATGAAGTTATGTAAGTGAATCAAGCAATATTCAAATTCACCTAAATCATCTTGAATTGTAATTCAAACAGATTTGTTTTAAAAGTCATTAAAGGGTGCTCAAGATTTCCATGCAAGTCATTTCTTGGTATGGAGAAATGTTGCATCATAATGACCAAACCTGTTTGGACAGGTATAGCAGGGAAATGCCCTATTTCATAATAACGTCAAAGTATGCTTGCATGTATCATGTTTGGATACATGTAAAGATCATTGCTCATGTACATTTTATTTGATATGCAGTCACTCTGATTGTGACCACAATCCTTAGCGCTTAAACAATAGAATGTTTTGAGGTGACGTCATAATGAAATAGGACCTCGTTTCTTGTTTTACCTATCATTGCGATAATGTCCGGGGTGGCACTCCCTTAAAGTATGGGTAGGGTCTGAAATGCACAGTCAGGCCCGTAGTCTGCCTTACAAATGGGGGGTTCGTTTTTTTCATAATGCGGACCTAAATTAAATGTTTAACTGACCTAACTAAATTAGTTCAATGCACAGTGTAATGTGTAAGAACTGGATACAAGAATAAGCAGTTCATAATACATTTTGACTCTCAAAAACAGTTCATAACAAAAGAATTTTGAAATTGAGCACAAAAAAGAGGAAAACCGGACCTTTTAAAGCTATCTTAGTCTATGGGCCTTGTGTTTTCATTTTATATTTGAACCCCATAGAATGACGGACAAAATGAAGTGAATAGTAATGTGTTGTAATACGCATACTCACAATTGATGATTATCTTCATTAAAAGCTATTTTAAAAACACTCATCAGAATGTGTACACAAAACATTCAATAATGAAAAAAGCATACTTACAATCGAACGTTACTAAGGAATGTTTCATCATGAAACTATTATCTCAACGAATGATGATAAATTACCATCGCAATAAACTCATAATAAAGGAATAATTCCTATAGACTTCAATGTTTTTCCATCAAAAATCATACATGAAAACTTCGCTGAAAGTTGTATACCCTACACTTGGAACATCATACAAAATTAAAAATAGACCGCCGCATGTTAATATGTTTCGATCCGCAATAGTTTAGTTTTACTGTTGATATGTATTCACACAATTACATTTATCAATTTGAAATTCTTCGTTTCTTTGCAGTTCCTATTCTAGGAACAGTCACAAGCAGTCTTAGAAAGGTGATATTTTTACAGGGGAGTTGCACCAATAGTGGATGACATCATATTAGAGCCAATGGTATAATGTATGCTTGTATTTGTTGGGAGACTAAGGGGAGGGGGGGGGTATCACGTGCCTCTATGAACGGCGTTCCTTGGATACTGCAAGTATCGTARTMCTGTTTATGCCTAACCCTAACCCTTTTCCCCACTACCTTAAATAGTTGAACGCAATCAAATAAAACATATAACTGTGAATGGTCTGAGGCCAGGTGTAAGCGATGTACGCGTAGTATGATAGTCCAGGTGTGAGAAGTCTTGAGAAAGACTATTATATTTACCTAACATTTCGACATTCTGAAGATGACTTCCAAGCAGGAAGTCTAAACGTTAGGCAACAATGACCCTCTTTATCTAGACTTCTCAAAACCGGACTATCATGATATCATATCTATAAAAAATACTATATATAATCAACATTACTATGACAACGAGGCACTTATGAACCCACATAGGTACATAATACAAATAGTGACTGTCTCTCAGTTAACATTTAATAGTTGGTATAGCGTTTCATGAGGTCCTATTGTACAGATACTTCTGAGCACATCGACCGTTGAACTTATCATTCTCGTTCTTATCAAACAACTAGACAAGTCTTCTCGAAACCACAAGTTTGAACCATGCATTTTGAAAATATATTGTGAGGAAAACTGTGAAGCTCAAACTCAAGGGACACATTTTTTACGTCAGTACCTATAAGGTAAGCCTTTACACTTATTATTGGGTATCCCTTTAGAGGAGAGATTAAGATTCAATTCACATTGTTCTGCGAGATTTTTTGAGAACGACGGCATACTATGAATGAAACGAGAACCAAGGAAAGAAAAAGAAACAAATATAACACAAGAACAAAGGAATCCGAATGGCAAATTTTTTGCCTAGAATTAGCGTTTTTGAAGGTTAACATTCGCCTCTCTTCTTTGCGATTCACAGAGCAAAATATGGCTGTAAAGTAATGGTAAATTTAAAGCAGCTGTTTTTTAGGTTAGAATAGAAGAGGCATTTTAAAAGTTTGTCCAAAACAATTTTTTATCTCAGAGACGCGATTGGTACACATGCTCTGATTAGAGGGCTCATGTTAACTACTCCTTACTTTTATGGTCTTTAAAACGTTAGTATGTGCACACAAAGCATTTAATGAAAAGAGTATAGTCATAAATAATGCTATGACAAGTCATTTGAGGAACGTTGATCAGGTAATATATAAATAACCTAAAGCTTTTCTACTGTTTTCAATTTTTACATTTATACCATGCTGCGCTATCACATACGAAATTTGGAAATATACCCCATATTATTATGATATTATTCAGGCCCGTAGACTGCCTTTTACAAATACCCAAATAAAAAATAAAAAAAACGAGCAAAAGACTGGGAAACAGTCCATATTTTTAAACATCTGTTTTCGCCGTAAGAAGGAGTATATCTCAACTGGTAAATTGGCGGAGTTTTAGTTTCAAATTTTGAATATCAGCAGAGTTACGAGTATTTGAAATGTAACAAAAACGTGAAAACGAGGCTGGTCTCAGGCCTCAACACTGATTTTCACTCAAACCTTTGCAATTTCAAACACCAGTAATTTATGGTCCTTAAATGTTAGATCATTACAGCGGAAATCGTTGCATCGCGACCTCTTTGTTTTGAAGTTTGTCTGGAATTTGTTCTTTTTTTTCAATCTGAGGGGCGGAGCTTTTCGAAAACTCGTTCAATCATTGGCTGATTAGTATCAAGCTCCGCCCCCAAGTCGCGGAAAAACCTAAATCCCAACTATTTCCTTTGAACATTGAAGTCGCGATGCAACGGTTTCTGCTGTAAAACTTTCAGATCTTATTCATTGTAATATGTTCCCACTTTCAACGGGTAGCAATTATGCAATAAAAATCTTATAAACTAGGTGTTACATCAGCCACGCCCTTTTTCTTATGATGTATGATCATAATAATGATATCAAAGATATCTACAACACAGAATTAAAATATTTAATATTTAAATATTTTAAGAAATAAAACAATGTACAAATAACATTCTTATATTAAGCCTATTGACAACCTACAAAGCTCAAATTCTTCCAATGCAAAACTTTTAAAGGAGCAGAATTTAGTGTTTTTCTTCAATAGATGACAGGGATTCCACCTTACTGGTAGGAATACAAAATAATGCTTTCAGTTTGCCAACAGCCTACTSTGCRAACAGAGCTACTTTTCGAAAAGKAGCTCTSTTCRCAGAGTACCAACAGCCTTACACTAGCAGTCAATTTTATGTGCAGGCTCAGAATATGGCTATCAATTAACACTCTGGATTAATATTTTAAGTGCATGGATATATACATTCCTTTGTTTCAAATTCTATAATATAGTCAGTACAATCTGTACTTTATGTACACTAGTATACACTTATTAAACCATAAGCCAGTTAAACAAAGGGTGGATAGCCTTGTCCACTTAATAAATCCTTATAAAGATCATAAAATCTGTATAAAACCTGTCACTTGGTTAACTTTCATCCGTGAATAAAGTGTGGATGATCTCCCCTTTGCACAACTGAACCAAATAATCTTTTATACATTTGGACACAGTACTTTACATGTTAATCCCCTTGTTCAGCTTTGGAGTTCAAACCTCCAGCAACTACTATTATATACCTTTTACCATGTCAAAATTTAAACTTTTTTGGACAAATAAATAAAGTTATCAGTGCCAGCAGCAAATACTGGGTGGTGTGAATGTCTATCATGGTCTACTGTGTAAACTGCTCGAGGAAGATCAACAATTCGACCCATTGTCTGTGAAAACAAGTAAATGTCTATTACAAATTACAAARTAGTATGATAAAAACCTATTCATTAATGACTGCATTRTACAGTTCACAAAGCCATCTTKAAAGTCAGCTGAGCTTTTGCTCAAAGAGAGACAGTGGCATGTGAGCAGGCAATGTTTGTTAGATATTGGTGAAAATTGACATGATGTGAAAAAAGCTCATCTACTGTCTCTCTTTGATTGCTCTCCAAGATGCTGATGGAAACTRAAAAATCAAGTATCTCTATTAAGATAATTACACCAATAGTCACAGCTCCCTGTACACCATCTAGAAAGGTAGCCGTGTCTTTGTATTAAACCACCAAACTTGTCATGKCAATAACACTCTCAACAATAAAGTCGCATTTCAAACTACAAACATGGCTATCTTACAAGTGCAGGGAGCTGTAAATGATAAAACTGAAAATTGAAAAATATTCTTTTATTCAATTTTAGTTGCAAGATATCACTTACATGTAGTGTTGATTGGTCCACATAGCGCATCATGTTTTTATCACTTCCCCCAGTAAGGATTCCATCTGATCCTTGCCATTGTGCACAGTAGAGCTTTTGAAGATACAACAATAATTAATTTTGTTAGTCAAAACAACAGTGACTGAACAACAATCTATGGTTAAATAATCTCTCAATACTTTCTAACCTACATGTAGTCTCCTTGCAGCCATTCTTAGTGGCGGGCTCCCTGTCCCCCGCTCCACAAACGTTTGTGGGGCTGGGGACAGGTAGCCTGCCACTAAGAACGGCTGCAAGAAGACTATTTCTAACCAAGACATTTATCAAAATGGTTGTCCACTCAAAAGAGGTTGAATGYAGGGTGGAGAGATAATTGGACTTATAAACAAATTGAAATACAATTTAGTGCACTGCACTTTTGCACACTTTTATTCAGTTTTTTATTGTTGTTGTTTTTGTTGAATCACATATCATTATATCTTGTTTAAGGTTTATGAAACCACACTATTGTAGCTGTCTAAACCACTCTATTGTAGCTGTCTAAACCACTCTATTGTAGCTGCCTAAACCACTCTATTGTAGCTGTCTAAACCACACTATTGTAGCTGTCTAAACCACTCTATTGTAGCTG